AAAAAAAAAGTTAAACTTATTCCATACAATTATGGAATTCTATATTAAATAAAAAACATTAAATAGAGATTGAAGATAATACACATTGTACGTTTTGCACGATAGGTTTCTCTTGTAAATTTCTATAGCTTTATACACTATACACGCACACATGGAAGCCCGTTTTATTATACATAGATGTAGAAGTTTATAACCCTAATGGCTAATAATTATAGATAGCAGTGGATTATAGCTAATTTAGCTCAATTACTTTTCCCTGCAAGTCCAGTAAAGTAATATTAAGTAGTAAATTTTAACGTAAGTTGTTTGAGGTGTAATTGAATTATTGTTAGGCACGCAAGCCTCTAACCTCGTGCACACGATTAAAACGGACTGGTGTAGTATATAGCATTGTATTGAATAATATTAAGTTTTAGTTATCGAAATTCACGAGCTCATAACTTAAACAAAAATCAATCTTGCTGTTGAAAGGAGCAGTTTGATGGGAGAGCTTATAAATAATGTAATAAAACTTCTTATGGGAATTTGAGAAGCTTATTAATAACTAACGATAAACCTTAGATTAAGAAAGAGAGTAGAAGTGAAATGAATTTTCATGATAATGATATATTTTAAACAACATAAGAAAAGTAATATTTAATATCATTACCAAATATAAACTATAAATAACCGGCTGTCTAAAAATATCCATGAAAATATAATATGAACTTAACAACTTCATTAGCGTAATTAAACCGAAACTGAATTCCTGTTATGAAAAAAAAAAGAGACTAAAATTACGTCTTCATAATAAAAGTATTTATATTGTTTACGTGTCCGTGAATTACTTAACTTTCAATTCTTAAACCTTTTTTCTGTTTGTTTTTTAACAAGAAAGAAAAATGCAATTGTTAGATAAATATATTAAAACCACGCGTTTGAAAATTAGTAATATAATAATACTAAAAAATGCATCAAATTAATTTGGTTGCTTTTGAAGCATAAAGCTACATGGTGGGCTATCTGTACTGTGCCCACCATGGTTACCGAAACTCGGTTGTTCACGTTATAAACTTTCAGATTTACCGCTGAGCTACTGGAGCGCATTTTCAGTAAAAAAGACCATAATAGCATCTCGGCTGCACACCCTATGCCTTTCGCTCAATACCAGAGCTCGTCAATTATTCGTTATTATGGCATATAATGATAATATATGGTATAAATCGTAAATGCTGATACAAACAGCGTCATGACCGATATTTTATGTGCTACATTCCCAGACAATCTAAAGATCCCTATTATGTAATAACGTCTGGCAGAAGAGTTGTCAAAAGTCCACAATAACAAGTACAATTAGTAGCAGTTCGTCTTAAGTAAGAGTAATACGAGTAACAGGGAAAGGCCACTTGGCAATGGCCTGTAGTGCATAACGTGTACGGTCAAGATGCTATTAAGCTTCTCGTTTTTATCACTAGAAAACTAGTATTATACAAAGAAATACTTGTAAAATGATATTGTCAGTGTTATTATGACGTAATATAAGCAACTGTTGTAACAATGCGGTGGCTTTGTGACACGTGAAAACTTTAAGCATAAGAAGGAACTCATTCGAAAGAGAACCAGTCAGTGAATTAACCGACTTTTTAAATTTGAAAAGTGAAATAGGAAAAAAAAAATAATAATGAGACGTCATACGTTAGCCAGAAAAACAAACAATCAGAGGTAGAATATATGAATCACACCATGGATATAGTTGACGTTTGTAGATATAAATACGGAATGTTTAAACAGATAACACCAATATTATCATATAATATGGAGTACAGTTGATGTTTAAACAGATAACACCAATATTATCATATAATATGGAGTACAGTTGATGTTTAAACAGATATCACCAATACTATCATAATATGGAGTATATCTGTTGTTTATAGACAGGTGTTTAAACAGATATCACTATAATTATCATAATATGGAATATATCTGTTGTTTATAGACAGGTGTTTAAACAGATATCACCAATACTATCATAATATGGAGTATATCTGTTGTTTATAGACAGGTGTTTAAACAGATATCACTATAATTATCATAATATGGAGTATATCTGTTGCTTATAGACAGGTGTTTAAACAGATATCACCAATACTATCATAATATGGAGTAAAATCTGTTGCTTATAGACAGGTGTTTAAACAGATATCACCAACACTATCATAATATGGAGTAAATCAGGAGAGGGTAGCCTTGTTTGTGGAAGTACAATAGATGTGTGAGATGGTGCTCTGGTGGACTGTTAGTTGTTTGTCTGTTTCTGTCTCAAGAAATTTCGTAGGATTTTTGATGAATAGGTTAATATTCTTCGGGTAGTGGCCATTTCCAACTGGAGTTTGGAGCTATATGTAGTATTCCTCTTTTGTTTTATTGCAGTGGCCATTTCCAACTGGAGTTTGGAGCTATATGTAGTATTCCTCTTTTGTTTTATTGCAGTGGCCATTTCCAACTGGAGTTTGGAGCTATATGTAGTATTCCTTTTTGTTTTATTACAGTGGCCATTTTCAACTGGAGTTTGGAGCTATATGTAGTATTCCTCTTTTGTTTATTACAGTGGCCATTTCCAAATGGAGTTTGGACTTAGATGTAGTATTCCTCTTTTGTTTGATTACAGTGGCATTTCTTAAAATTCGGGATTCGATTCTCGGCGACGAACAGAGAGCAGATAGCGCATTTTTGTAGCTTTGTGTTAAAAATATGAAGAAAAGTAAGAGCTTAAGAGAATTACTATTTAATAGAAATTCTCGGGAATTTCTTTAAAGTTTTTTTCTTCCTTTTTCAGTCAGAGAATTAAGAGGAATACATACAAATTTATATTTATTTATTACGTTCTTACGTACGTTTAATAAAACCGGAAGTATAAATTACTTTGAATATAAAAATAGCAATAAAACTGCCTATCATCAATAAAGCTAAAATCCTAATTGAATACAGTTTTAATCAATAAAAAAAACGGGCTCGCCAACTATGTACTTTGTGCTAAAACTGGCAGATAGATAGAAAGATGTAATTACTATCTGCCATCTGCCACAGTGACTGCAAAGAGGGGTGGCTGGGTGGGCCCAAGCTCCTGCTTTTCTGGTACTATACCCCAAAAGTGCCCTTTTCTTCAGTCGTGAAAATTCTCCATAGCTATTAAAAGACATGGCCGATTCCACACCTTGCTAGCTGCGAGTTATTACATTCTTAAAACGAATGGAACACAGGAATAAAATATAATAATAATTGTGATAAGCTATTTAGTGTTAACACGCAAGTATTCACTGTTTAGCTTTAGATTTTAAAAATGTTTATAAGTCTGATTGAATAGGAATAAAAAGAGGATCTGTTTTCTTCTCGTGGATTTTTTTAACCTATCTATACCAGAGGCAATCCACAGTCTCCATAGTCCCCTCTAACACCCTCCCCCCCGGAAACAAAGTCTTGCTTTACGATGCTTGAAAATTGTCCTTTAAATGTCATCTGCCTGTTACTAGTCTGCTACCACAGTTTGAACAAGTTCCATCATTAATAGGCATTCCATTTTGTCAGTTCGTGTATGACCATTCAGACAGAATTATGCAAGTCAGATATGTAGGCCTGATTTAAAAACAATAAATGACAGCTCATGAAAAATAGCTACAGTAAAATGATAGTAGACATAGAGTTGAGTGAAATTCTTTCATTAAGTTTTCTTTAGGGAATGCCCCCAGTGGCACAGCGATATGTCTGCGGATTTACAACGCTAGAAACCGGGTTTCGATACCCGTGGTGGCCAGAGCACAGATAGCCCATTGTGTAGCTTTGTGCTTAATTTCAAACAAACAAATAAACCTTCAGGGAATTACATTAATCTGAAAATGATATAACTTTTTTTAATATGTAATAGTATGACATACAAGGTGTTTAAAATCCAGTAAAACTTAATTTGGAAAAAAAAAGGCTGGCATATACACAATGAGCTACACAATGGCATATACAACATAGCTACACAATGAGCTATCTGTGATCTGCCCACCACGGGTATCGAAACCCGGTTTCTAGCGTTGTAAGTCCGCAGACATACATACCACTGTGCCACTGAGAGGGCGCTGGCATATATTCCAAAGTGTAGCACCATGGCAAGGAAATCATGTCAATTTCTGAGTATTAAAATACTAGAAACTATAAAACTACTCCTAAATGTAGTTGAGTACTAAAATACTAGAAATTATAGAGCTACTCCTAGTCGTTAGTACATTACATAGAGATCATATCATCATTGAGGTTTTTGGTAAATCAATGAACAACTCCCAAGAAGTTTAGAAGTCTCTTTTCTATTGAAGATTTGAGACTTTGTCCAATGAATGAGGAACTTGGTAGAATAATGATTTATAATGACTTGACGCCCATGCTGCTTAGCAACACCTTCCTTGAATAATTTCTTCTTTTTACCCACTTACCATTTATATAACAAACATAGCAACTCGTTCTCTGTAGAAAAATATTCGTATCAACCACCCCTGCCTGCCTTAACAAACGTAGCAACTCGTTCTCCGTAGAAAAATATTCGTATCAACCACTCCTGTCTGCCTTAACAAACATAGCAACTCGTTCTCTGTAGAAAAATATTCGTATCAACCACTCCTGTCTGCCTTAACAAACATAGCAACTCGTTCTCCGTAGAAAAATATTCGTATCAACCACTCCTGTCTGCCTTAACAAACATAGCAACTCGTTCTCCGTAGAAAAATATTCGTATCAACCACCTCTGCCTGCCTTAACAAACGTTTTATTACTGAGACTAACTTTTTTCATGACCTTACCAAACTGGGGGGTTCTCACATAAACTTCGTCTGAAGAAGGACCGGGACCCTTGTTGTTGAAAGCCTGGACAACGATGACATAATCGGTGTTTCGCTCTAGGCCCGAGATCTCTTGTTCTGCCAAGTCTTCATCCCTGAGCACCACGGTTCGGTAGGTGAACGGCTGTGACGACCCTCGTGGTTTGATCCCAACGTAATAACCTTTTACAAAATCTCCTGTACCGGGTTCTCTCAACATCTAAGTATAAAAAACAAACAAACTTAAAATATAATTCTATTTCTAAAACTATTTTGAAGTTGTTTTTTTTCTCTCTCTTCGTATCTGTTTAATTAAGATCGTACGTATTCTTTGAAGATTACTCATATCTATGGTATTTAAAGTTAATCGGTTCCAGAGACGAAGATATATTTCAAACATTGTCAAGGTTAATATTACAGGTGAAAAAAAAGAAAAAAGGCAGAAACATAACCGCAACACGAAATATTTAAGAGGAAGTGTATATGATACGGAAAATTTGAATTAAAATAGACAAGTTCAAGGTTCATTTCCCCCATTTGCTCTCAAAATCTGTATATTTGATGTAGCGATATTCTATGTGGTTTATATTATTTATTGTTGTGAGATTGACATCGACACTGTGAAACCCAAACAGAGATACAAAGTCTGTTGCTGACACCCTTGTTGCCAGAGTCTTTCAGCTATTTTTCACGAAACAGTCGTCAAATTAATGTTCGCAGGTAGACAGACGCACACTGTTTTGAGAGTAAAAAGTTTCCTATTAACTTGAAAACCTGAATAAAAATCATTTCTCTCTTGTATTTGCACTAAATAAATGGCTTTTTTTTTCGAAAGACACAACGTGGTTATAGCACGAGTGAAAACTATAGAAATAAATAGATAAAAATTAGGTTAATAAAGAAAAATGGCAAAAGTTTTCTTGTTAGACAGCAAACTACAGACCAATATACACTATATGTCATTTCATCCTGAATGGCACCTTACGTGACATGGGCTAAACGGCCAATTCAGAGATCCCTGGTCATTTCTAATTTAGATCTTCTAACCAAAGGGAAGTCAACCAAGCAACAGCACCCTCTGCTTTTCGGTTACCCTTATTCGAAGAGTGAACTTAACTGTTACTCTTATAATATTCTCAAGTTGAAAGTGTAGATAAATTGCGGTTCAAATCTTGAACCACACTAGGAGCTAATTACTAGACTACACTTGTCAAGGGGGGGAAAAAAACTAAATACATTCTATATGATACTACATGGTGGTGGGAGTTAAGTCCAGGATTAAAACTAAACATATTCTATGTGATACCACATGGTGGTGTGAGTTAAATCCAGGATTAAAGCTAAACATGTTCTATGTGATACCACATGGGGTGTGAGTTAAATCCAGGATTAAAACTAAACATATTCTATGTGATACCACATGGTGTGTGAGTTAAATCCAGGATTAAAACTAAACATATTCTATGTGATACGACATGGTGGTGTGAGTTAAATCCAGGATTAAAGCTAAACATGTTCTATGTGATACGACATGGTGGCGTAAGTCAAATCCAGGATTAAGAAATAAACATATTCTATGTGATACCACAAATCCAGACAAAAAACAAAACCAAGCTAAACACATGATGGTGTGAGACAAATCCAGACAACAAAAACTAAATGTATCGCTACATTCTTTTAAGATTCTTCATTTGTCAGTACTGTACGTTTGTGTGTTGAAACTTTAAAGGTGTTGTCGATGTGCTAATTGTTGTTTATTCAACAAATTCATGAGTTGGATTAATAAAAGTACAAGATGATAATAAATTTAGTTATTTAGTGAATCTTTATTGTATTCATATATATCTTTTAAACATAATTATTGAATGTTTGAATAACATTTTGCTGTTTCGGCTCTTTAAGTAGTTGGACGTTTGAAAATAATCATCTTAAGGTAGTATATACCCTTTAATACCCCAAAACATATTTATGGTATAAGTTTCACAATTTGCAGGATGTGGTATACCTTTTTTCAACTAAACAACTGTTGATGTTATATATTTCACTATAGGCATAAATATGCATTGTTAGTGTATCTATAGTGTGTACTAAGGTAAAGTTGATAAGAAGTTTGTTTTTTTATTTATTGACCATTAACGAGTCTCTGTAGCATAAATCCTACTTAGAGCATATTCATTGGTGCCATAATTTGATCCTGAATTAATTTGTTCAGAGTTTTCCGGAGTTCAGACTAATTCTTCACATCCCATAAAAGTCCGAACCCATTTTCAGGAGCATCCAGTCATGTTTGTAGAAGTTATGAGAAACATAAGACGTTTCTGTTGTATTTCTTTATTTCTTTTATAATATGCAAATTAGCCATAAAGGTAATGTTACACAACATATGCCAGAATATATCTTTGTACTTATTTCAACATATTTTCATACAAAAAGCAGAGTATGAAGATGCTGTTGTTCTTTTGACAAAAAGGCCCGAACCTGGATAACACTGTATAAAGGGTATATATTACCTTCAGTACACAAAATATAGCGGTCGTTTAGTTGTTGTTTGGGTAAATTTAAGTACAGTACGCAGTCTCCAGTATAGCTTTAGTCGAATGACGTTTTGAATTGGTCGTGTAAATGTTTCCGGATAATATTTATTTCATACGTGTACTGAGAGGAACGTCTTCCTGTCGATAAGGCAGAACATGTGGTCGTGAAAATTTCTCTACTGAAAGCGATGTGAACTTTAGTGTTAGAGCCTTTCTTCGAATTGACTTATTAGTGCAAATGTAAGACAAAAGTTACATCAATATAGCGTCTTCAACTTATTGTGCTAACTGTACCCGTTTGTCATTCAATAAAAAATATTCTAAAAACAACAACAACAACAACAACACCTGATTATAAACAGTATTGAATTACGAAACTGATGAAACAAAATGAATCTGAAAATTGAAAACCCGTCTGGTTCAATATGTGATCAGGCTGGAAATGCCTCTTTTTTTATTTTAGTTAATGAGAAACTTTCTTTTACTTGATGTGAGTAAAGTTTCTGTAACAATTATCAATAACTTCCGATAAAAAGTAAGCCAATAGCGCAGATCAAAACTTAAAACAAGATAGTAGCTTGGTAAATACTGTAGCTTATTTAGTGTAGAAATCAAACTAGAGGTACGTAATGCCGTAAAACAAATCACGAGAAACACAACAACAACAATAATAGTAACATATAACGATTAAAATCTACTGATTTATCAGCTAAGCATCTCCCTGTTATCGATTTATTGAACCGTAATTGCCAATTATACTGTACAAGGTTCGATCGGTCAGTGTAAGAGGTTTAGTTTAGTTCTTAATCAATATAATAACTTAATAATATAGAATAATTTTTAAATATAAATAAAATAAAAAGAATTGTATGATCTTTGGGTTTTCCTGTAGTCCCCACAAATAACTCACTGAATAATAAGTAACAAAAATGATATGAATTTAATTTACTAAATTGTTCAGCGGATGAACAAAATTGTTTAACGTATATGTATGATTTTTCGTCTTACTGCCAAAATTGTTTAACGTATATGTATGATTTTTCGTCTTGCTGCCAAAATTGAGAATTTCGAAATATGTAATCGAATTTTTCATCTTGGTGATCGAGAAAGGTAAGTATGTATTTAATTTGTTTGTTTGTTGTGAATTTCGCGCAAAGCTACACGAGGGCTATCTGCGCTCATTTAGCAGTAAAAGACTAGGCGGAAGTCATCACCACCCACCGCCAACTCTTGGGCTACTCTTTTTACCAACGAATAATGGGATTAATCGTCACGTTATAACGCTCCCACAGCTGAAAGAGCGTGCATGTTTGATGGGACGGGGATACGAACCCGCGCCCTAACTACCTGGCCATGCCAGGCCCATGTAGTTAATAGGTTTTAAAGTAATTGTCTCATATCTCCGAGCACTGATTAAACAAGGAAACTGTTATGATCACTACGTAAATCTTACCTAAACGTGACAATCCAACTACGACATTGCTTACCATAATAAATAATACCACGATCCAATGCTTAAGAAGAACAACCGAAACCTCGACTTCATGTTATTCTTCAGTTTGATCTTATTAATTGGTTTGTTTGTTGTCAGAATTTAACGTGGGTTAAACACATAGATAACATAAAAGCACAAGTTTGGCAACGTATGAACTATGTAAGGTGTCTAACAGGCAAAACTCATGAAACATCCGCCGACAATATACTCGAAATATACAAAGTATACATCCGCCCAGTCATAGAATACGCATGCCAAGCTTGGATTGATACAAAACACATACATGTAAGAAAGCTACAAACAATCCAGAATACAATACTTACGGCAGCCTACCGAGTACCAAGATCCACATCGTCAGCCTTCCTACATAAACATGCAAACATACAAACACTATCTGATAGACTCAAAAGTAGTTCTCTAAATTACTTCTCAAAAAATTGGAATAAAACTGACTTATTTTTGTGAATTAGACCGTTTGTGCATACATGATGAAATTAGCCTCAAGCACCTCTCACCAATTACTCTATATGTTAGAAATAAAATATAAATTAAGGCCACCCTAAGCTATGACTATAACATCCTTAGTTTAGGTAACTCAGAGAGCATTGAAAAGGGTATTTTATGTACAACGCTCTTACAGTAATCAAACTAATGGAAAAATATGTGAAACGCAACTGGAACTGTTCGTGATGAATGTGTGACTTTTACGCGATAACGAACAAAGTGAACGTGTTCCTCGTACATAATATTTTCTTGATTATTATGCATGAACATGACCTCGAAAGGGATCAAAGTAAATGCAATAGCATAACCTCTGATCCTCATATTATAATTAAAAGAATATTCAGCTGTAAATTAAGAAATGCAAGGGGAAGAAGTGGTCCAGGCGAACCTGACCCTCCCAGGTCTGCAAAGATCTAAATCCCGATGTAGACTGATGAACAAACAGTTCAAATTTAGGGACGGTTAGATAAGCCTTGTAGAGCTCATGCGTAAAATTCGACAAACGAACTAGTAAGCATACTATAGATATAACCTAGAAGGATGTTTATACAGTAAATGTAAAATCTGGCAGGATGTTGATTTTTGGCTATAATTCTCAGTTTCGTAAAACATAAAACTGATAAAACAAATATATTCATCTTACCGAGTCACGGATGTGGCCATTTCCACATTTGTTATTATATTCTA